TTATTATACTTATAATATACTATTCTTCATTTTAAAAGCTTAAAATAAAATAACTACAAAATTTTCTGAGTATTTCATTGCTAGCAATTTAATTTTATCAAACAATCTTATACATCAAATAAAATTATTCTTATCAGCTTCTTACTCTTAACTTTGGAAGAAAAATTAGAAGCAGTAAATTAGACAATATGATTTTTGAGAAAATACTTCATAACCAACAGAATCAAACATGAAGCTTTCTCATATATTGATATTGTTCAAGGTCATAGTTTAAAAGTTAAATAGAAACACTTTGCTAATAGATTTTATTAAACTATCCTAAAGAATCAAACTTTTCATAAGCAACAATAAAAGTCTGCCCTTAAAATCCATTGAATATTATCAACAAAACAGTTTCAAAATCTTCTTCGAATTTGTTTGTTATTTTTTGAAGTAGTAATTCACTATTAACTACTATTTAAAAGACTTTATGCATTTTCCATCATTATTTTGTCTAGGTGATTCGAAGCACGGTGGAATCAAAAGTGGTCTGAGTTTAATTCCCGTTTCAATAATCAATTCTATAAACTTCTGAATTCTTCTTTATTCTATCAGCACTTCTAATAGTAAGAAGTCTCATCGCATATTACTTTCACTTTCTGTTTTTCGCTGGTAAACTCTTCATTTATTGAGAGATATTAGCAATTCATTGTAAATTTCATGACAATTTCAAACTGATATTAACATTCGCAGCATAGTAAGACACTTTTCATTTCAAGCTCATTTCATGGTTAAAACTTGGACAAATCGAATAACAATTAATCTATCAAATAAATCAGTTCATTTACAAGTACATACGAATGAGATCATCTATAATCTCAATAAATCCATTTATTGTTCTTTAATGTAGTAAATGACTGATAATTATTTGTTTGCATAATTAGATTAACAAAAAAATCAATTCTTTTAGTATTCCGAACTTAAAAATTATGATCTTTTAATCTTCTTCGTCTGCACTGATTACTGAATAACAACTTAAACCACAATAGCATCAATCTTTACTTGGAATCTCTGAGTACGTTAATACTAACACGTAAATATAAGCTTGTTAATTCATCTTTATCAAATAAAATTTTAAATTTTACGCTTCTTACTGGTATTTATTTGTTACTATCTGTGTTAAGTTGCTAAATATTTTAGCAGTATAATGGGATACTGTCTTTATTAGTTTGAAATTTAAAATCATCAAGAAATATCAGCTTAAAATATTAATTGATTTTTTTTGAAATTTCAGTAAGTTCACGAAGCGAATAATTTTAATACATTCTTGTTATAAAATGAGGAAGTGTTCAGCTCACTTTATATTAATAGTGACATGAAAAGGGCGCTTATTTCTGAATGCTTTATACGTTAAGAATAATGAATGCAGTAATGATGAAGACGGTTAAGCAGTGGGTGAGCTCAACTGTTAATGTTAATGGTATTATTACGGATTAAGGGGGACTTTAAACAATATGTAGGAGATTAATACATAAATCAGAGAAGAGGTCAAGTTAATATTTGTTCATTTATAGCATCAAAAATAATCTGTTACTAAACAGCTTAAAGTATATGTACATGTGTTAAATCTATTCAATCTAATTTACCTACATCGATAAGCAGCACGAAGCAAAACAAAAAACATAGGTCTTACACTTTAAAACAATTGAAAATACAGAATTTAATTTAGACTTCATCACAAAGCGCTAACTTAGGCAAATTTCTTGTAACAACAAATACTGATCAGAAGCAGCTATGCTCATCTTTGATAATTTGGCTTAGGCTTAGAAGAATTGAACAATCCTTTAACGAGCGTTTAACGTTTCATACGTACTATGAGAGCAGCAGTAGACTGATCTTTAATCTGCTTAGCACACTATCGTAATGAAATTTAAAGTTTGAAAACATTAAACAATCAGGAAATAACTTTGGATGATAAAATAAAAGTGCAAAGAGTTAGTAGAATAAGTGTCTTCTTTTTCATCCTATTCTTAGCGCTGTTTATTTATTGATCGATTGCTTTGCGTCAATTTTATTTCACGAAAAATTTCACTAGTGAAAAGAATTTGTTGATGTATCACTTATTTTGACTCTCATTTTCCAAAAATATCGCCTTTATATTCTAAAATTTAAAATTAGAAAGAGATATTGTTGCAAGCTATTCAAAGATTAAACACACTGAGATTAAATTATGCATTCTTCTACTTGACGATGAGCACTTCAATTACTTTAATGACGCTATGATCGAGAACAATTTTGCTTTTCATATATTTTTTCCACAATAACAATTTCTTAATATTCTACTATTTCCTTCCTGATGATAATTAATTTCAAAGCTTTGCAACGTGAACTTCAAACGTGAATTTGAGAAAGCTCATTTCAAGTCATATATCGAACTTGAAATAGTTACTTCAGCTTTCATACATAATGTTTCTGATAGGCAACACTTAAAATACGATAGTTGCAAGAAATTTTTCAAATCTACAATTTTTTGCGAATTTTACTACCGTTCACAACTGCTGTTTTTCCATATGTGATTAATAGCGATATAAACCACAGATTGCGAAATATGCAACCGTTCAAATCAATGAATATAAATCAAATATCACATCAATGTTGCTGCTTATTTGACAATTGTAACCGATTTGAAGAGAAAGATAATAGTACAAATAGCAAGCAACTATACTACATGAACGTTTATCAATTGAGAAAACGGTACTTGCTCAAATATAGCAAGTATAGCATCTATCGTTAAAACCCGAGTGAAAACCTTAGATCCCTCAGAACCTCTGGAACAAAACCCCCATAATCCTAAAATATCAATTGCAAGTACTCCTCTCTTATTTCTTTTATTGATGACGAAGGGTGTATACATGTGTGTGTGTGTGTGTGTGTGTATGTGCATGTGTCATAAAGAAACGGGAAATTAAATCACTGGCACTCCGCCAAAAGAATCTCCCACTCTTTTCCTTCGCCATTTTCAATGCTCTTTTTGATTTCTCTCGTTTGTCTCTACTTTCTTTTTTCTAAAATTTATAATTTGTCTACAAAAAGAGTATATTCTCTCCTTTTCTATCAACTCCTGCATACTAATTAAACATCATAATTTCTTTTTGTATACCTGTCTAATTTGCAGTGTTTTACCTTCTAATCAGTCTTTTAATACTGTTTCATTTCTTTCTGTCTGTCTAATTTAATGATGTTTCGTCAAATGTGCGTAGGTGTAGTAGTGTATTGACAACATCGGCAAGAATAGTTATTGCTCTCATTTCAGTCAATTTCTTCAAATGTTTGTCTATAAGTGTGCAGAGAAAGAGAGAAAGGGGCAGAGAAAAGGAGGAGGGCTGATATAGTTGAATGAATGAATGAATGAGTGGACGTGAAGGAAGGAAGGGTCGTTACTACAGCGTTTCTATTTTATTACCTCTCTCTTATATTATTATTGTTATTATTATCGTCATTGTTATTATTGTTGTTCTTGGCCATTTTTTGTTCTAGGTGTGACTTGTACGTTTAAAATTTGCGCAAAGATTTTACATTTGTGTATTACGTGCACTCATCTGTTTTTTAACCTAATACGTTATATCAATCATACACACGTTTGTACTTTATTTACACTCTCATGCGGGTTATGTTAACAAAGCGTGTTTGTGGAGAAGTTCCCTACGTGAAGAACATATTTCTGATTCTTGTAATCCGATACCGATGCGTAAACATGATACTAATATTATCAGCTATTATAATTTTGTCCTTACTAGACCATTAATTTCTTATTAATAGAAACATACCTGTCATTTATTGTAGCTTATAATTCCGTCATAAGCGCTTATTTTTTGTGCATTTAAAACAGCTTGTGTGTAAAGTTCGTAATATATATAATCTGGTTTCTTAAAACGTAATATGTAAATGTACGGTATCTAAGTTATTAGATTTCACACGTTTCACATATGCGGATCTCACACATTTTTGTTTCTGAAACGCATTAGACCTATGATTGCATATACACTATGCATTTTCAAATCTTAGAGTGTAATGTGTGTGAGCAGAGATACCTATGGTTTTTGTTCTTCTACTGCTTTTTCATCAGTTCACAGTTATGTGTGCATTTTAGTCAAGAAACGGGCAGTTTTCGAATTACTTCGAAAATTATTTTTTACTGACATACAGTATGTAAGATTCTCACGCACAAGTTAGATTATTCAAAAAACTAAACTGTTTATTACAATTTGTATACTATCATTGTATTAATTTACACTGTTGTAATAAGACGTGAAGCAGAATGCATCTCTTTTTTTATGTGATGAATCATCTTTTGCATTATGAATAGTTTTTACTTGATAATAGTCGACTTTGTGAATATTCTTTCTTTGCTTTACTATGACTTCATTCACACTATGTACATTTTACTCAAAACACGTTCCACGTTTGTTTTTACTCTTATAGACTATGTTGCACAAAATTTGCATTGTTTTCCCATTGTTGCTCATTCTATTTACAACTGCATACTATTTCATAAGAAAATTTGTTATTGCAAAACAAGCGAAATTTTTGATAGAAATGATATGTAGTAGAAATAACTATTAGCCTCTATACTTTATTTGTGTAAAAAATTTATTTAGGTGCTTCAGTTCATGCTTACTTGAGTTTCTGGTTGAATTTAAATCTGTTCTTTTATTGCACATGTGAGAGCTCTACAATTTTTATTTTATTTAAAATCGTAGTCTGAATGGTAATCTACGTCATCTGTATTTTACTTTTCCAGCGAGTAAAAGTTGATATAAAACAAAAGATCATTTACTTTTTTACAGATGTCATTAGTCAAGTTTGTCATCAGTAATCTCCTTTTTCAAACTCATTGTATAAGTATGATAATTTCATTTTTCATTTAATGCTTACTGTTTATTCGTGAACCTTTTTCTACATTTCAGTTTAATCTGTTATTTAGCAGAATATGTCTGTGTAATTTGAAAACTATTACAGAAATGTATCCAGTGAATGATGTTGATGAGATAATTGAAACTGAAGTTTGTAATCGATTGATTCGACTTTCATGTGCTAAAATGGTTAGTTCAAAAACTGAACGAGGTGGTGCGAAACTGCATCGAAATTTATTAATTTTGCATCTTCTGAGGAAAGCTCGAGATGAGCAAAAGAGGTTCGTAATAGTTCTTCAACTGTTATTTTGGTCTCTCTGCTTTTAAGGTTTCGCTGTTTATACATTATATATATAATGTGGAGGTTAGTTTTAATTTTCGCTTTATTGGTTCTGGCACTGCATCGCATTTTGGCACTCTGGCAGCACTTCTCCCGCGATCAGATTTGTTGTACTCATCATTCTCGCTTCGTCCTCGTGGAATCCATATCGACTGTTGAAGGAGATGCTTTCGAGCATCTTCTTGAGAACTATCGATTGTATGTATGCCTCGATGTGGTCAGATATGCTAATCTCCTTCACAGAGCGTTTGTGGAAGTTCCCATCCCAAGTCATCGCTATATATATATATATAGCGGGACGAGTACAACCGCAGTGATGGACAAACCCAGCGCCAGGATCAGTTAGAGCAAAAAGATTAACCTCTACCTCTTAGTGGTTAATCATATATATATATATATATATTTTTACAAGCAAACATACTACGAGCAATTTTTCTTTTACAAGTATAATACAGGTTTCCAATGTTTTCAAATGAGGTTGAATGGGCCAAAGAGTCTACTGCACCAGAAAGCCCTAAGATGCTCGAGGAATCAAATTTAACATCATCACTGGATGCCTATTCTTCATCTCAATATTTGGATGTCAGCGGCGATAATAGTGCTCATATGATGAATGAAACAAAGGGCGAAGGTTCCACTCATTTGTTAGATTTGTCGAGAAGGTTAGAAATTTATTTATTCATTTTCAGTGCAAAATAGTTGATGTAAATGCTAATCTTTGTTTGAAATTTGATGACTCCGAAGTATTATGTAGCATATGATAAAGATAGTGATACTGTTGACTGCATTACAACAAGTCATGCATCTTATTTTACTAATTTTTTATGTCTTATTTTTTAATTTTGTTGAAAAAACATAGGATAAAGATTCATGAAACGTGACTTCATTATGGGATTGTTCTAAAACTTCCGTTTTTAATGAATCTTTTCGTATAATTTGAATCATTTGTGGTTTCTCCATTTCAATTTATCATTTGAGTTTGTTTCTATTAGTATTCCTTTTGCATGTGATAATTAAGGCTATACGAACTTCCCTAGAAATTGAATTTCAAGTTTCTAGCATGTAAATGACACTTCGTTACAGAACTTTTAGCGATGTCTAGTTTTGGAGATGGTTTTGATCAAAAACATCCTTAACAACTTGTCATCGTTTTAAAAGTATATCAAATTTATTTCAGTCATGAGCCGATGCCCATAGATATTGGTGATGATTTCGATGTGAAACAGGAACAATCTGAATTTGAGTATTCGCCTTTTCGTCTTTCTCCATTACATTATGCGTTCAGTGCTCCAGAACTCTATGGTGTGAATGAAGTAACGGCAACTCAACAGCACATGTATGGTGAATCTGCATCTCTTTCTGATGTATATTTTTCGGAACAAATGATCTCATCGCAACCGTTAATTAATGAGTTACCAGATGAAATGGAAGCAGAAGAGTTTCCCAAAGAGAGATTGATTTCCGACTCTGATTACTCATCAGTTTCTACTGACGCGGTTGTTCCTCCCTATACTGAAACAAGTTCAAATGATGAATTTAGTCCCTATGCAAGCGACGAAGATTATGATGATGAAGAGGGTTCTGGAAGCAATTCCTTTCCTCCCAAAAATTATTCACATCGTAGGCGAAAGCGCAAGACTTCTGCCTTGCGTGTAACAGCTCCTTGCAATGCCAAAAAGTGCTGTGTTGAAGAACGTCAACTAACAGGTCTCATTTCGGTGTTCAACTCAGGTTTGAGTGTTGTTGCCGATCAATTACTTGCGCACCCGGCTAGTTCAGCTGTTTCTCCGCTGCAGCAATCTCAAAAGCAGATTAATCCATTTATGCACATTACCTGTAATTCAGTAATATGTTAGTTGTTTTTGATATGTTTAAGTTTCTATTGTTTTTCTTCTAAATCAAAATACTGCTATCAGCGAAAATATTTTCTCTAAGTTTTCTTGCTCACAATGCTGTTAAGATTTAAAAGAAGTCACTTCCTTGCTCTTGTGCGCAGTAAATTAACATTTCTAAATTTCCTTAAAATTCACGATATATTTAGAGATCTTGCTTTATTTCTAAACTACTTATTCATGCTTAGAAATCGTTTTTAAAATTATAATATAGTTTTGGAACTTTAGTTAACTCATTAATAAAACATTCGTGGTTTATCAGATTTTGCTTAATTATTTCCCTTGAATTTCATGTCAGAATTCAAATTTATATCGTCAATGTTAGAAGTGCAGTTCTTTAATGTAATATAGTTATGTCGAGCAAATTTTTCGTTCTTATATGTTTGCTCTATTTTTTAGGGCGAAATATTGCCTTACTGTGAGTACATGCATTATATCCATTGCATAGTGCGTATAAAAATCTGATGAAGTACAGATTATGTTTAAATAATTTTTCTGAGTATATTTTTGTAATGATCCGGGGATCATTACAAGTCCAAATTTCCGGCGTAAAGAGATTTGATACTTGCAAGTGTAAGGGAGTTGTTGTACCTCTAACTTTCTTGAGTGGGATATTTTACCATATAGCCGTGACAAAAAATGAAAATATGATCGTAATGATATCATAATTATTATAATATTAAATATGCAATTCGTAAGTTGTGTAAACCTGAACAGTTTATCATTACTATAATTGTTTTGAAGAGTAAAGCATGGTAAAGTTTGAATTGAATTCCATTCACATCTTTTGTATTCTAGTGCTTCTTCATTAAAATATTTCCAGGTAATGCTTGTATCGCGCATTGTTTTCCCATCATTTTCTTTAATCCTGCGAATTTTTGAAATACTATGCGTTTTTTCAACTAGACCTTTACTGATTACAATTTCTCAGGTTAAACTTTTTGTGCTTGATTTGGTGAAATTCAATTTATACCGCGATGAAATTTTGTGATATGTGACTTTAAAGAAATAATATTGAGATTTTCCAAATGGTATTTTGGTGTCGTCACAATGACAAATTTTATTTTTATTTCTGGATTGCTTACTGTTTTCATGTTCTGGGTTTTGTAATTGTATGAGGTGCTTGAAAAAAGAAAATTGGACATAAATAGTTTGGCAAAAATATTTTTAATACAATGTGGTAGCATTTTATCATCAGCTATTTAGTTCCTTGAGCAGGTTAGCAATTTTGGGCTTGTTATTGATTGAATTAAATATGAAATGAATTCTCTCGAATTTGATACTGTATGTCATCTTGTGATTTCTTAGCTAGTTAAATTCTCTGCATTTCGTGAAATATCACTGTTATATGGTGTCCATTTAGTTTGAAATTCTCATTTTTTCTACCTTAATATTATGCTCTCAACCTCTTTTCTATTGCAGTTTACCAATGTTTTTCCATCTATTATGGTTTTCCGCAGAAGTAATGTTTTGTATGTCACATTGTCTAACTTTGGATTATATTACTCGGAACTACATTATACTTCTGTTATGCATTTTGATTATATTACTCGGAACTACATTACACTTCTGTTATGCATTTTTACTGATGTGTTTCTCTATACAATGTGATAACTTCTTTCTTTTGTATTGAAATCTGCGGTTGTTCGTTTTCATGTCTTAAGTTTTTCTTACGATATTTATTAAATGAAACTTTTCAAAGTATCAGACCACAAGTTGTATTGCAATATATTGCGACATTTATACTTTAATTATAGATAGACAGTTGAGTTCATATTGGAAATATATAGCCATTAGCAACTTTCTCGCAGTTTTCTTTGATAGGTTACTTAATCAGTTTTCATGGTTCGTTGTTTATATTGCTTCAATCTGGATGCAATTTGATGACTCCATAATTTGATATGGAAAAAAGTCATAGTACAAAAGTGATTGCTTTACTTATTATTGAGTTATACTAAGTCGTTAGTAGTGAGGTTTGCCTATCGAAACTTCAAGGCTATGTACTAGAGAAAATTTCAATTAACCGAGTTGTCATCGCTATGTCATTGATTGCTTAAGTCATTATCGATATTAGCTGAAAATTGATACAGCCTTTGAAAGGAAGTTCTGGGCAAAAAGAAATGTACTAAAGAAACTGCGAAGGGTGTATATACACAAAACATAATTTATTGCAGAGTGTTTGCAGTGAATAAAGTCATAGTACAAAAGAATATTCAAACTTGAAAGTATGACAAGTTTGAATATTCGAAAATGAGACGAGAACTGCGAACAGTAACAGAATGGTTTGTGTTGAAATGGTAGCACCTGAAGTAATACGCAGGAATATTCATAAGATTAATACAACAGCAGAAAAGGAGTACTCTCATTTAAGGCAAATTTGCCCTTTATCTAATACTGTAACGTTAAAGAAAAAGAGCTACCAAGGTGCAGTCCTGAATGTAGGCTATGGAGTTTGTTATTTTTACAGTAAGTGGGTGGGGCTTTGGTACTTCTATTTGTTTTTGTTTTTGTTTTGTTAAAGAAACAGTCGGTAACAGATCCTAAAATGGTAGGAATATTGTGTTACATCCAATTAGAAAGGAAACAAAAAGTAAACTGCGTTGTTCCTTAGTTATTAATAATATTATCATATGGTTTTGATTTTTGGATTGAAATTGTAAAATCCTCCGCAACGTGTTCGTACCTAATGATTATGCTTTTTATTACAAATAGAAGTACCAAAGTTGTTTTCCTTATACAAAATTCAATTTCAGTCCAAAAATCATTTTCAATTTCAAATTCAATTTTCTATTTATAAATTCAATTTCAATACTGAAAGTCATTTTTGTTAAATCCCGAAATATGAATATGTTAATTATGAATATATGGGAACTCCTATAGTATATATGTAAATTATTAACTCGTCAAATTAAACTTTCTTCACCATCTTTTTTGACTCGAAATAATCATTTTTCAGTCTTACCCATAAACATACTCAAACAGTTGATATATCCTCGATACTGGCTGAAATATTTGATCAATCAAATAGATGTAATGATTTAATAGAGAAAATTAATCTTCTGTAGTACAAAAATATATAATTATTTATGAAAGCGTAAATATGCCAAGATCGTTTTCTCTTTCAATTTACATCCAACAAAAATTGCTCCAGTTTCATTTAAAAACAATTTTAATACAGTTTAAACAACAATAAATGAAAATATAAAATTAAATGGCGTGAATACAATTTCAGTATCAGGATTCTCATTCAAAAACCACACAACAATTTTAGCAGCTGATAGCTAGTAAGGAAGTTATTTTTTAGTTATCATTTTATTTTTTATTCATTGTGTGACCTGTTTCAATTAGCAATTGTTGATCAGTCACACGATAAAAGAGGTCAAAAAAAGCAATGTTAAGGTGAAAGCTCTACAGGAATTTCAAAAAATGATTTCTAAAATAACTTTGCTTATTTTAGCTTTATGTCTCAAATATTTAAAAACACAAACCTCTGATTTTTTAAATTTGTTTATATGAATTAATTACAACACAAATTTGAGATTAACAGTGAGGAAAACCCGCTCATAAACTCACTGGTAATGAATTCTAAATGTAGTAACAGCAAATGGGATTAATAATTTAAGGCAACAAAGAGATGCTGAGTATTTGGATTTTTGATTTGTTAGATTTTTTTTTCAGATCATTAAAATAGATAAGACAATATATACTTAGGTAATGTATCAAAAATTGGTACAAAAATTATGATATATTTAGCTTATACAGAGAATCGCTAGAAATTTTAGAAGATTTATTGTTACTTTGAAAAAACTTATCTGTTTTATAAATTTTCATTTGAAGATTTCATTTCCTATACAAATAAATACATAATGACTATTATTGTCAAAGGAATAAATAGACAAATTATGCGCGCAAATTAATTATATTTCAGGTATTATTCAGCAAGCAGATAATATTTTCTACAGGAGCGATAATTAAATTAAAATAATATCAGAAACAGTTGTTACTCACTTGACAAAAACATATTAAATGAAAAGATCAAAAAAATTTCAATGATTTAAATCGCAGCTGCAGCAGCTGTTGAAATGGAATTTGTTGTCCCTTGCATGCTTAATTTTTTCAGCATATCCACGGGAATGTGTTCACGAAGGATTGTATTTTCTGTTTCTAATCGTATTATCTAAAATATACTGATTTTAATCCATATTTCAGATTATTTTATTTAAATTTAATAACAATAAACTTAATAGCAAATAGCTCCGAGAAGATATTATTCAATATCAAAAAGTAACTACTAAAGAGATTAATGAATAATCTGCACGGATTACAGATATAATTGACATTTTTCTTAATTGCAAATATTTTAATCTTTATTATTTTATTATATACAACATTTAGTGAATTCTTTATTAAATTCACTTCGTGGTTTTTTTAATATATGAATATTTTTTCTAATCTGTAATTTATTAATAAAAATGTGTTAACGTTTTGATGTGCTTAAAAGCATTTTTTTTCTCTAAATCAAATTTGTGATCTATGTGCGCGGCTCATTACGTGCGTTAGTTCTAAAATATGAATTCACTTGTGATTCACGTAATGTTTTTTCTTCTTTAAGCAAGTATTTAGAGAAACAATTTAAAGAATTTATGTTAATAAGGTGCTTCAAAGCTCAAACATAGAACACCATCTGCATTCTTCTTATTTTTGACATAAAAATGTTGATCTTAATCTGCACAATTTTTTATTTACATTAGTGCCTTTAACTTTAACAAATCTAAAACTATAACAGCAGGTCAGAGATCATAGCTAGATAATTTTTAGTAGTCAACAAGTAATCACATTGGTCGGATATATTCAACACTTCATAAATTTCACCATCCTAGTCGCATATTTTCGGCTATTATATTTTTAGCATCCATGAATTTAGGCAAGAAATTGAAATTAGCTTTTAATTAAAGACACACAGACACGTCACGTAAGATTCATACACTTTCACTTTTTGAGAAAAGTATGTTCAAACGCTAGAATATAATATGCGTAGTGTGCAAGAATGTGAAATAAAGGACCACGAGCTTTCATACAAGCATTTTACATGCGAAACATCTTTGATATTTTGCACTCGCTATATTTGTTTATTGCTTATTCTTCAAATCTTAGATATTTTGATTCAAATCGTAATTAGAAAAATTAAAAAAATAACTTACGGTTGACTCCAATTCCATAATTCTTGCCCTCAGAGCTTCAACTTCTTCTCGAACGGCAAACATAAGATGAGTTTTTACCAAATCCTAAACTCATATTAAGGATTAAAAAAGGTCATAATTTTTAGCGCGTGGATTTTATAAGAGCGAGCTTTCATGACTTTTAAGGGTCAAGTAACCTTGACCTCATCATTAACAACATTTTTCGGTCGATTTTTCGATCATGGACTTATTTTTCGTTCGTTTTTTAAATAATACATAAAATGTAATAATAAAGCGATAGTACTGAGAAAATGATCTCAAATTTGATGTTTGATTACTTCATGACCTTCTAGCGACTAATTAATGTTTCAAAAAGCAAAATTGAGGTGATAATTTCCTTCAAAATTAGTTTAACTTCACTTTGATAATTCAATATAGTAAGCAAAGAAAAGTATTCATTTCCACATGATATTAAATTAATTGATTATATAAATTGTTATCATCAATTGATTGATTGATTATTTAAATTTCAAAATATGAACAAATATGAGTCAATATTGAAATTAACTAAACTAAGCACTGACTTTTCTAAACAGTACACGTTTTATATGATTACCAGTTATCAGTCACTAACTGAAGAACAGTCATATCAGTTCATAATTTAATAAATGAAAAGGTACCATTGCTTGTTCTATTTTGCTATCAATCGCAACAACGGGCGCATTAACACCGGTTCCACTGCCACCAATGACGGAACCGCTAGCAGGCGTACTGAAATAAAAATATACCGTTCAGATGCTCTTCAACAGCAGTAATCATTGATTGGTTATTTGGGATCTTTAATTGCTTTTTGAAAGTGTTCGGAGGAAAGTTTAGCTATAAAAGCAAAGTTATCATTCCCTCCCATCAAAATTTGCATATGCATACTGTAATGTACGTAAAAAATTTTCAAAACTGCTCAAACATTATTTGATAATTTTGTTCATTAATTTTATTTTAATTTGAAAGTTATCAAAAATAAAAACATTTTCAAAATTTTTTAATTAATTTCAATATTAAAATTACTAATAGTTAATTATTTTAGCCAAATTACGTAATTTAAATAAAATTAATACGTCAATATTTACTTCAATTTTCTTGTTTATTAATTTTATTTCAATTGCACAAATAAATTTATTAGACTTTTCAAAAAATAAAGTAAACTTATATCTCTTGCTTTTATTATAGAAATAGTTTAGAAACTATATGCAGCTGAGAAAATTATTTAAAAAAGAGAGAAATTCATTTGTCAGTATTAAAAAACACTTTCAATAGTTTTTAATCTGATTGCTGATCGAGCATTCTCTTGGAAAGTCCTTAACAACAAGTTGTACAATAATGATTAAAATTCTGCTTCATTGTATGATAATTCAAAATATGAAATATTTATTAACTGAAATTCTTTGAATATAATTTTAAAAATATAACTCCGCCAAGATAAATTATTTAAGAAATTTTTTTGAACTCAAATTTTCTTAGAACTTAGAGTGATTATTGCTGTTTTGCAATCATCCAAATAATAAATGAATTTTATAGTCTGTTAATTTAGCAAAATATTATAATATCTATTAAAAATTCATTTCATTATAAAAGACTGTATAATAAGGCAAATAAAAGTTTGTAATAAAGGATTATTATTTAATTCTATCCACATTTTATTTAGAACACTGTCAAAAAAAACTGTGCGATTAAATCTCTTCATTTTTTATTTTTGTAATTCTTTCTGAGAATTTTTCATTTTTTACTAAAAATATCCATGAGAAAGTAAAAAAATAGCCTAAAAAAGTTGCTGAGAAAAATACAAATTTATGGTATTGCATTTTTACATTGTTTTAGTCGAAATTACTGCTAATATCGTTGCAAAGTTTTAAGATTAAAAAAAAATTATAATTGAAACATTACAGAAAATGTTAGTAAGATAATAAGTATCTTTGGGAATAATATACTGAAAAAAAGTGTATATAATTTGCATAAACTTATCAATACATCATTTATTTGACCTGTTTCTTCGCACAAAATGTTTGGATCTAAGATAATAACTATCAGAGGGCACGTGAGGCTGACTTGGACGTATATCAGGTGCCAGTGAATATCGCCGATTCAGTCCAACCATTTAAAAATGACAAAAAAATCTAAGCGCCTTTACTTGATCAAAAGTTCTATGTAATTAAAAAATATTTTACAAACTTGGAAATTGCTATCGAAAAAAAAGTGAACATTAACTTGACTTATCAGTTAATCTGAAATAATGATAGAGCTTTGATTTTTAAAATCGTTAGATATAAAAGCAATTACAAATTTAACTTTTCAATTTGAAAAAAGCTATGCTTAAAAAAATTAATCATTTCCTTTTTCAACTTTTTTTTTTTAAATAAAATTTTTTCATTATAAAAAGTTCCAATTTGAAATTCACAAAGATTTGAAAATGGAAAAGAAAAGAATTTTTAACTATTTTTTCAATAAATCAAATTATTCACCGCAAAATCTCAGTACTTATACTCTTTCGATAATAATCTCATCAATACGTATCACAAGTTACCAATTAACATATTGTTTACAATAACATAAATTTGTAGTTGCAAAGAAATTAGAGCGACTGATTTTGATCAAATATGAATAACATAATTATTTTTCATTTTTAAGTTGTTTATCAAACCGAAAGTTTTGAGTACTGCGTAATTTCAGGTTGAAATCATTTTGAATTGATTTGATGCAGTATATCCATGAAATTTAATACTTGATGCTTTATTAAGCTAAATTTTAATTTTAACTTTATGTCTTAGCAAAGCCTCCCTCTACAATAAAATTAGATAAGTTTTTAATACAAATTTTCAAATTGAAAAAAATTAAAAAATTTAAATAACACAATTTAGCTTTTTCTAACTCTTACTTACTAATGAAATAAGCATTATCAACTGAATTAAAGTTTAATTCTCCTATTTGAACAACAGAGTTTGAAATTGCAATACTTTTCAGTCAAAATTAATTTGCCATTAATACCTGAAGCTTTCTGAAGAAATTTTAGCTTGATTGAAAGTGTCATGCCATTAAGAATAAACAGCACTTTTTGAATAATTTTTAAATTTTTTATCTAAAATTTTCGAAATTTGAATCATTTTTTAGTTTTCAATACTTTTTATATAAATTATAAATTCAGTTATTTGGCAATAATTATACATGCTAAGAAATATACTAAAATTAATCATCTTATTTATTGTAAATCTTATCGTCACGAAGTTACTGTTAAGATCTAAAAACATTACATTAATATTGTTATTAATTGATTTATATAAAAATTGTTATTGATTAATTTATGTATTAATTGATTTTAAGACGAAAATTTATGGTTATTAATAATTTGAAAATACTGAACACTGATTAAAAATGTTGAATTTTGTTAATTTTAGATTATGGAAATTCTGATTTTTTGTAAAAAATATTTGCATTTTTCAGGCACGAAAAAGCAAAGATTGAAATAGCTATGAGATGAGATAAAAGTAACAAAAAATCACAAAGTTATATTAATTGTAATTAATAATATTTTTTTTCACAAAAAGAATTATAAATTCAAACATAAAAAGTATTATTGTTCATTAATGATTTGATGGAATATTATTGAGATAAAAGTCTTGGAGGTAACTCGAAATATTTCTGATAATAAAAAGCATTTCCATTTGGTTATGTGTATTTTGAGATCAGTCTTAAAAGTACTTAACAAAATTGAATTTAAAAAATTCTGAAAATTAAAGTTTTTTAAACTTACATATGCTATTCAATAAAATTATTAATTTAAAAATTAGCAATTAAATAACTGTATTAAGTATTTCAAAAGAGTTCAAATTTGTATAACAGTAATTCTAATTTTTTAAAATCAAAGTTTGCTCATTTCAAAAGCTCAAAAATCATTTAAATAATCAAAAATTATTGTGCAAAATAATTATATCAGCATTGGATAGGTGTTTTAAGAGTAAACAAAATTTAATAAAACTTAATCTAATCTAAAAACCAAAAGTTTTAGTACATTTAGTTCACTATGTACTCAGTTAATATTTGTTTTGTTAAATTGAAAGTAAGCTATTAGTTGTAAATTTGTGCTAAAAGAAGAATTAATTTCAGCTAATTATATCATACTAGCTTGAATCTCTTTTTGCTAAGCTCAAAATACGCAAGCAATCCATTTTCCTACTTTTCATCAAAAAATTCATAATACTAAGACAGATGTCATTATGACTCCAATAACATATTAAATTATTATTATATTTGTCAGATATTATTTTTAAAATTCTTGTCATCAAAACTGAATATCAAATCATTTTGAGCTAAAACAATTTTAAATTAATGTCAATGTGTATAAATTATCGCCCAAATTTTCGAATACTTTTAAATAATAAAAGATTATAAGACTGAATTATATATTTTTGAAAACTTACTTGAAAGCAAATGCCTCTTTGCTAAGCCAAATATGGCAACCAGATGACATAAAATAATTTTTTGCTGCAAAGTAAAAAAACATGAAAATATTCCATAATTTACATCTGAGTTTATTTCAAGACTTGTCAAGAACATCACATTCATGTCAAAAATTTATATGTTTATTTTCATACATTTATTAGATGCTAGTTTTTGAAAAGTAAAATCAAAACGTGGATTAGAGAAATTTGCATACCTAAAGAAAAATATAATGTAGCATCCAATAATTATACGTCATAAAAATGATGAAAAAAATAGTGTAAGATAATTGGCATAAAACTTCTAAAACTTTCTAATTTAGCATAAATAAAGCTTATCATCGACTAGAATTAAGTTTATCTCATCCATAGTCTAAAAATATTTAAAAAAAGCTTATCATTTGAACAATTCGAAATATTCGTATATTACGAAAATTGAAGAACTTGGTTAAGATTAACAAAAATAAAATAGAGAATATCGAAATATAAAAAATACAGCTAATTCTCAAATTGCATAAAAAATAAATAAAAACTAAAGGGTGAATATGAAGGAATAAAAGCATTAAGCGGTATAAAACTTGAACATAAAAAAGTGTACAACTACAGCTTAAGTAATAACTCTAATCCCTTTTTAAACCCTCAAAGTTAGCATAAATTGCACCATTTTGGGAAATTTTTCTGCAGAAGTTATTAAAATCAATATTTATTTGCCTACTTACATTATTAATCTAATTGAAGAAGCAGAAAAGGAAACAGAGCTTATCAATAACTCAAACTGTTTTTATGATTAATTCATTAATAAATATGAAGTAATAATCACTGTTATACACTTAATTCAGTCTCATCCAGTAATACGTCTACAACAAAAATAAAATTGCCACTAAATCTGATAACTATTTCTGATAGCGGATTTGCATAAATTCACTACTAATTTGATTTATTCATAATCAATTCATTGTCAATTGCTCATTGATATTTTCCAATTGCTCAATCGATTTATATAATAATTTTTAATTGATATTATTAAATTACCAAAAATTTATGTAAATTTTCTGCAGCAAATTCAAATTTTGAAGATTTTAAAATGTAAAAAAGAATTTTTTGACTTTCAAAATTAAATGGATTGAAGCAAAAATAAAGAGAAGTAAGTTGTAAATGTTTGAAGTGAACTTAGTGAAAATGTTGGAAAAAAGTATTCCCAAAAGAATAAGAATGTCGGAAAATAAATTGATTTTAGTCTTTTTCTTCAATTTCATATAAGAATAAAGGCAAAATACAAATAAAGTGCAAAAAACATTAAAAAATCGCTTACTTTTAGTTTTTTAGCGTTAGTTGCAAAAAATTTCAAAAATAATTACCACAAAATAGCTTGATTATTTTAATTGAAAATTTAAATTAAATACTTGATATTAGAATATCGATGCAAATCAATATAAAATACATAAACACTTGATTTAGAGAAAATTAATAACTGATCGAAAGTAGATCAGTTATTAGTGGGAGACAAGTAATGACTCAACTGCATAAATTTGAATGATTAAAAAATTAAAAAATTTACTCATTTCTAGAAAGTTATTTTTTTAAGATAAGAATTAGATATCAAAGTGAATTTAAGCTATTTGTTACGTTTTATAATACTTAGACTACAATCTTTATTATTATTATCATTATTATTTTTGGTAAAAATTCACATTCTTTAGAATATTTATAGTTTTGTATTAATAAATTTTTCAAGAATTTATAAATTTGATCGGATTGATTAAAATTTTATTAGCAGCAAAAAAATAAAAATTTTTTGTTTTTACTGCCAATATTAAGCCAAAGCTGTTTATACTTTAATCCTTAAATTAATACGCAGTCTGAACGATAGAGTAAATTAGTGAATAATTAATACAAAGCAAATCAGTAAGAAAAATCTAAAATCAGAAATATTAGTATAAACTCAAATTATATATTATCAATTGATAAAACTTCAAATTATTTTTCACAAGTCAAAAAAGTAAATTTTATTGTACTTTTCAATAATTAAACTTTAACTGAAAATTAAAATTTTGATTTGAACTAAGAAAAGTAATAAAGCTCTAAAAGGCTATCTAAGGCTCATTATGCATTTGTGGCTTACTTATTTTCTATTCATAACAAGAAGTAAGATGGGAAGTAATCAAGCAGAAATTTATGAGAAAAGCTGTAGGAAAATCCATCACAAATCAGAAACAAAATGGATAAATTAAAATGGATAACATTAATTCATGCTAAAATTTTTAGTGAAGCAATAAAAGGTATTAATTTTAAGCAAAGATAGCGATTACGTTTTGTAATACTAACTTATAGTCTTAATAATACTAATTAATGACAAAATAGTTTTGCAATAATAAGCAACATTTCAATGCCAAGCAATTTATATTCCATTAAAAAATAAACTTATACTTATTTATTGAGAGAAATAAGTTCAGAATAAAATTTAAAATTAATATATAAATTCAAATTAGATGTAGAAGCTTTCTGTTTTTTATTTTCAGAATTTAATTATTTAACTTTAAACTCAATACTATTGTTTATCTGATTTTTAATAGAAAACAAAGAATCAAATTTTTTGTTTTTCTGATAAAATAACACATAAATTGATTTATCATATCAGGCCCTTTGATAGAATAATACAAAGGCCGAATAACTATCAAAACTTTAGTTTTCGGCAAAAAAAATCTAAAAAATGCAAGAAGAGTTAGATTTAAGCTTATAAATAGTCCAAAATATGCAAACATCTTTAATGAAAGCAAAATACTCGCAGACTTTTCTCGACTTTCAAAGGAATTTCAAGTTTGTTTGGTTCATCTCTTGCCGTTATTATCGTAGAAAATGGACGAATTTAAAAAAACTGTCAAAAAATTAAATTTAAAAAAGTGCAAGAATGACAATAACTAAAAATGAAGAACGGAAAATTCGCAAATTATTCAGTCAAAAATTTGAGTACAAAATTCAAATGAATTTTATAAATTGACGAAGAAAAAATTCAAAATGTAATTACTGTTAACAATATTTTAGCAAACAAAATGAAGACTTAGCAATTGAGAGTTCCACAAAAAAAGAAAAAACTTTAAAAAAAAAAGTTTTATTAACTATTAATAATAATAAGTACTTAATCTTATCATTTAAAAAAAGCAATAAAAATTATATAAAAAGTCAAAAAAATTATAATTAAAAAGAAAATGGCAGGAAAAAATAAAAATAATGAAAAATATGAAATGAAATGCTCAAAACAAAATATTGAATAATTTGTAATAATACAAAGAGAAATTATTTATAACTGATTATAATTTTAAGTGTTAAATTAAATTTAAAATTGAACGAAATTAAAAAACTTCAGACATGAAAGTAATAATATCAAATTACTGATAAATAATTATGCACTTGGAAAATTTTTTTAAAAGTTTTTTTCATATATCAGCAAAACTTGGTTGTCACAAATGATAAAAGCAGTGATAACATGCATATAAGTGATAAGGCCAGAACGAAACTGAACAATAAGTAAACATATTTTAGTCTTTAGAAAATTTATTGCAATATTAAATTTTGGAAAAAGATGTTAAAAACAAAGTTATTATGTTATTTGACAATCAGAAATTTGCTTATTTTGC